ATCTTCTCATCCTCACATCCTCACATCTTCACATCCTCACATCTTCACATCTTCTCATCTTCACATCTGCTCATCTTTACATCTTCTCATCTTCACATCTGCTCATCTTCACATCCTCACATCTTCACATCTTCACATCACATCTTCACATCTTCTCATCCTCACATCTTCACATCTTCACATTCTCTGTTGCCCTCTTTCTCTCTTGCCCTCTTTCTCTCTTGCCCTCTTTCTCTCTTGCCCTCTTGCTCTCTCCTTCTTTTCTATTTCTCTCTTGAAGGCGCGGGGCAGTGCCAACGGCGGCAACCCTTTCGCACAAAATGACGTTCGATCGCCAAAAACTGACCTTAAAATTGTGATTGTGAAATGTCCGCGGCAACTCTTTCACGCGAAATGAGGTTCGATCGCCAAAAACTGAAGTAAAATTGCGATTTTGAAATGTCCGCGACAACCCTTTTGCGCGAAATGAAGTTCGATCGCCAAAAACTGAAGTAAAATTGCGATTTAACAACTTCCGCGGCAACCCTTTCTCACGAAATGAAGTTCGATCGCGAAAACTGAGGTAAAATTGCGATTTCAAGGGTCCAATCGCAACCCTTTCGCATGAAACGAGGTTCGATCGCGAAAAACTGATGTAAAATTGCGATTTTGAAATGTCCGCGACAACCCTTTCGCACGAAATGAGTTTCGATCGGCAAAAACTGAGGTAAAATTGCAAATTTACAACCTCCGCGATAACCCTGTGTGTAAATGTGTCTGTGTGTAAAAGTTTCTGTGGGTAAATGTGTCTGTGTGTAAAAGCATCTGTGTGTCACCGTGTCTGTGTGTTCAAGCTTCTGTGTCACCGTGTCTGTGTGTAAAAGCTTCTGTGTGTAAACGTGTTTGTGTGTAAACGCGTCTGTGTGTAAAAGCATCTGTGTGTAAAAGATCCCCGTCTGGTGTCCTGAGCTGAAAACCTAGGGGCACAAGCTCATGGTTTTCAGCCAAAAATTGGCCACAAACATGTTGGCTTTAGGTTTTTATTTTTGCTAAAAATATCTCAGCATTATAGGTTTTCATTTTGTCTTTTTTTTGCTACTTTGTTCTAAGAAGATCTTGGCCCCTAAGGATTTTAGATTTTTAAAATTTTGTGGAACCAAGGAACATGATGCCTTGAACCCATAAGATTTCAGCCAGGAAAAATGTTTCACCTTGATCAATGTCTTGACTTGTGATACCTCGAACCTATGGTCTTCGCAACAGGTTGAGTCAAAGGAATTCATCCTGTGTCGTGTGGGGCATTTAGACATTCGACCATGTCTTGAATCCCCGTCTGGGGTTCCTGGCTGAAAGTAGGTGCCTGCAGCCTCAATTTTAGCCAGATGTCAGCCAAATTTAGCTTCAAGAATGCTAGGCCTCAGCTTTTTAGCTTTTGTTGCGTTTTTACATATTTTATAGTTTTGTTTTTAGATAAACCATGCAGCGAAAGGATTTCAGCCGAGGGAACACCTCTTGAGAACATTTTTGCAACAGGTTGGGCGCAGGTAGTTTAAGCCACCGAAGCTTACTGAGAACAACTTTTGCAGTGAGGGTCGCAACCAGGTTTTTATTGGACAGTCTATTCTTGCAAGGATCCCAAGTCGCTTTAAAAAATCAAACGTTTTTGCCGCCTAAAAGGTGAACATTGAAATTTTGAGAGGTGAATCTTGGGACGTTGGATGAGGATGGGTTTGCAAAACTGAGTCATGAGTCGTTTGTGGTGTATCTTTGGGACGTTGGTTCAGGATGGGTTGGCACACATGCCTAGTGTAACATGGTCATGAGTCCTTTGTGGTGTATCTTTGGGACGTTGGTTCAGGATGGGTTGGCACACATGCCTAGTGTAACATGGCGAGCTGTTCCGGCAAAGTGCAAAAGAGGGATGTGTGAGATGAAAATCTTAGGGTCTGAGGTTTTGTGGACGTTGGTTCAGGATGGGTTGGCACAAATGCGTGGTGTAACATGGAGAGCTGTTCCGGCAAAGTTCAAAAGAGGGATGTGTGAGATGAAAATCTTAGGGTCTGAGGTTTTGTGGTGTATCTTTGGGACGTTGGTTCAGGATGGGTTGGCACAAATGCGTTGTGTAACATGTAGAGCTGTTCCGGCAAAGTTCAAAAGAGGGATGTGTGAGATGAAAATCTTAGGGTCTGAGGTTTTGTGGTGTATCTTTATATATCTTTGGGACGTTGGTTCAGGATGGGTTGGCACAAATGCGTGGTGTAACATGGAGAGCTGTTCCGGCAAAGTTCAAAAGAGGGATGTGTGAGATGAAAATCTTAGGGTCTGAGGTTTTGTGGTGTATCTTTGGGATGTTGGTTCAGGATGGGTTGGCACAAATGCGTGGTGCAACATGGAGAGCTGTTCCGGCGAAGTTCAAAAGAGGGATGTGCGAGATGAAAATCTTAGGGTCTGAGGTTTTGTGGTGTATCTTTGGGACGTTGGTTCAGGATGGGTTGGCACAAATGCGTGGTGTAACATGTAGAGCTGTTCCGGCAAAGTTCAAAAGAGGGATGTGTGAGATGAAAATCTTAGGGTCTGAGGTTTTGTGGTGTATCTTTGGGACGTTGGTTCAGGATGGGTTGGCACAAATGCGTGGTGTAACATGTAGAGCTGTTCCGGCAAAGTTCAAAAGAGGGATGTGTGAGATGAAAATCTTAGGGTCTGAGGTTTTGTGGTGTATCTTTGGGACGTTGGTTCAGGATGGGTTGGCACAAATGCGTGGTGTAACATGGAGAGCTGTTCCGGCAAAGTTCCAAAGAGGGATGTGTGAGATGAAAATCTTAGGGTCTGAGGTTTTGTGGTGTATCTTTGGGACGTTGGTTCAGGATGGGTTGGCACAAATGCATGGTGTAACATGGAGAGCTGTTCCGGTGAAGTTCAAAAGAGGGATGTGTGAGATGAAAATCTTAGGGTCTGAGGTTTTGTGGTGTATCTTTGGGACGTTGGTTCAGGATGGGTTGGCACACATGCGTAGTGTAACATGGAGAGCTGTTCTGGCGAAGTTCAAAACGGGGATGTGTGAGATGAAAATCTTAGGGTCTGAGGTTCTGTGGTGTATCTTTGGGACGTTGAGCTTGTGATGTTTCCATCCGTGCTGTGAACAATGAACAAAGACAGTGAGCCGAGATCATCAGTGAGGGGCAAAAGGGACAGCTGCTTCGGAATCCTCGGGCTCAAGTTCGAAAATGAATCCCTGAGACTTGGGATACTCAAGACATGGTCAAATGTTTAAGGACCCCACATGACATAAGATGAATTCCTTTGAGCCAACCTTTTGCCTAGACCAGAGGGTTTCACCTGAAACTACGACCCCATCAAAGGGCATTTGATCATTCCTTAAGTATCCCACCCCTCAAGGGATTCATTTTTGTTTTTTTGGGACATATGTTGTCAGGCTATCTTGGGCTTAAAGGTTTTCATTTTTCAAAAGAAAACGTGACTGGACTTTACCCTATGTCAGGTCATAAGGTTTTTATTTTGGCGTTTTCTTTTGTTGTGCAAGCATCACCAAGATGTGACATGTCAATCCCATAGGTTTTCATTTTGGCCAAAATATGTTGGCCCTATAGGTTTTCAACCAGGTTTTTGGCTGCAAACCTTTGTACTGCCCCTCTGTGGCACATCCAACGGGGATGTAAAAGCGTCTTTGTGTAAAAGCGTCTGTGTGTAAAAGCGTCTGTGTGTAAACGTGTCTGTGTGTAAAAGCGTCTGTGTGTAAAAGCGTCTGTGCGTAAAAGCTTCTGTGTGTAAAAGCGTCTGTGTGCAAAAGCTTCCGTGTGTAAAAGCTTCTGTGTGTAAAAGCGTGTGTGTGTGTGTAAACGCGTCTGTGTGTAAAAGCGTCTGTGTGTAAAAGCTTCCGTGTGTAAAAGCTTCTGTGTGTAAAAGCGTCTGTGTGCAAACGCGTCTGTGTGTAAAAGCGTCTGTGTGTAAAAGCGTCCGTGTGTAAAAACTTTTGTGTGTAAAAAGTGTCTGTGTGTAAAAGCGTCTGTGTGTAAAAGCGTCTGTGTGTAAAAGCCTCTGTGTGTAAAAGTCTCTGTGTGTAAAAACTTCTGTGTGTGTAAAGCTTCTGTGTGCAAAAGCGTCTGTGTGTAAAAGGTTCTGTGTGTGAAAAACTATACGAAGGATAGGGTGCAAAC